GCTGACCCCATGGTTTATTCGGCACAATAAACACAAAAGTACAACTGCCATGAAACATAAACATAAATTTGAAATAAAAGTATATTTATGAAATAAAATTAAAATGTTTTTATGCACATATATAAACATGAAATCCTAGTTAAAAATAAAAATACTCATTTATTTTTTAGGTTTATTTACAAATATTATTTATGGGTCTCTATATTACTTGAAAGCATAAGAAGTATACGTGATTATTTAAAAAATTAAAAATAGATAAAATTTGCATTTTATGGAGGATACAGTTTTTTGGGGATTTCAAAATAATGTACTAAAACATTAAAAGTAATAAGTTCAAATCTGTAGCAAATATAAATATTGTAATCATTTCTTATAAATACGATTTCCTCATGTAATTTTACAAGATATTAAAGATCATAATGCAAAAAAACTAAATTTATTAAAAGTAATAGGCCTTATGTTTCTTAAACTACCTACATTTGTCAAAGTATTTATGAATTTTCGAAAATATTCGTCGACTAGTTTTATTGTTGGAATGAAATATAGCAAGACTTGCATTGCCTACTAAGAAAGTTAGTAGCCGGTAGTCATCGGGTTAAGAGCATCTACAGTTGTTGATTCTTACAGTTAGATAAAAAAAAATCTGATAATTCATTTATGCATAGCAATATTGCTATGGTATTAATGTTTTCACACTGTCAATAAAAATATGGCATTAGTTGTAACTTAAAATTTTTTTTATATTGTTATAAAAATTAGTTTCATACTTTGCTGTTAGATGAGAAAATACTGTTATTGTGGTATCCAACCCTTAAATTGAATTGGTTCCATATTCATGATGGAGAATCTATACTTTAAAGCAGTTATTCTGTAGTGATCATATACATTAAACAATAAAGTTTGAAGTGGGATCTGTACATGCATATTTTTATTTTATTGCAGACTGACTTGTGCGGGATTAAATGGCGATGTCTATGTGCTAACAGGGTACTATGTTATGACTCAGAACTACTGGATGATCCAGTGATAACATCTTATAGTAAGTGTTTAGCTGCTGGTCTTCTTTGTGTGTGGCGAAGAGTGCCCTCAAAGTTTGAAAATCCAGACTCTCTCAGACCAGGGAATACCAGCCAACTTGATGTTTGTAAAGAGCTATGGATTTTCTGGTATGGGAAAGAACCAGACCTGTCAAATTTGGTACCTGAACTAACAGGTACTTATACATTTGTGGTTGCAATTAATTTTTCTATTCATAAATTGTGATTGTTTTAATTTATATTCTTTTCTCTGGTTATGTACTTAAAATCATCATGAAACTAGTTGACATTTGCTTAAGAAACATCAGAAAAAAATCTGAAAAGATTCCTTATATGGCAGGGTAGGTGTTAGGGTAGTGTTTGGGAGATGCTTTGATTGGCTTTGGATTTAATGACAATAAAGATACTGATATCAATGAAGAGTAAAAATATAGGTTATGTGAAGTTATATGTGGCTTAAAACTGTTTTTGTTTCATTTTAAATGAAAGCCTTGTTTAACAGAAACTTCCAAAACCACATAAAAGCTTTAATAAAACTCCCTAGCAGTATTTAGTTTAAGACATTAATGAAGGTATAATAACATTCCAAAGTACCTAGTCACTGTATAAACTTTGTGATAGCTGTGGTATCTTTTCAGCAGTAACCAGTTGTGATACAATTTAATAAGAAGCTTCAGTATTTTACCAGCAGTGTTCAATTACTAATATTTTATGGAAACTGAACCCTTTCCTGCAATATTCTTTCTTAAATGTTACATTTATAAACAGTATTGGTTGAATTTTTTTATATACCTGTTTCTATTATGTTAATTTTTTTATCCTTATATTTTATTATAAAGGTTATTGTACACAATAATTGATTGATAGATCTCAGAGTTGCTCCTTTTCGCAGGCATTCAATTTTTGCAGGTATTTCAGATTCCATGGAATCTCTGGTGGATGTGGCTCATCTCCACTCTTCTCTTTCAACACTGGCCTTTTGCCTTTCCAAGTCTTCTACCAGACAATTTACTGCATCTCCAGTTTGAGTTTTCTGTTCTTCTGCATCAGCTCCATGTTTTATCAGATCACAAGAGAGATTCTGCCCTTATCAGCGGGCAACCTCCGCTCACATGAAATGCCAACAGCAGCATTGATAACTACCTGTGGGGCCTCAACTTAGACAGTGTGTGTCTGTATGATAGTTATTTGCCATTGATCAGTAGGTCATTCAGGTTCTTATGAGAGGTTGGTCCTTCATTCCAAGCCTCCTCCTCCATTGTCTTCCATACTGGTTGCCTTTCCTCTCCCCAAGGACTGTTTTACATCCAGTTGTCAGGCACAAGCCATCCATGACTTTCTACTCAAAGAGCCCATAGAGTGCATCAACTACTCTTTGAAGTTTTTTTTTCCTGTTTGTTTTTAGTGCCAAAGAAGGGCAAATGGTGACCTGTCATCAACCTTTTTTCATCTCAATCATTTTATCCAGCCTCCTCGGTGTACCATGGAGTCGTTTCTTTCCCTCTGGTGGCACTTTGCACCTGGTCTATGGATGACAAAGTTCGATGTCGCCGATGTCTACCTTCATATTCCGATCACAGAGTCTTTACATCGGTATCTGCATTTTGTGCATGAGAAACAGGTTTTTCAGTTTCATGCTCTACCATTCAGCCTCGCATCTGTCCCACATGTCTGTCTCTTTTGGGGATGTGGGCATCCTCCAAACCACTCATTCCTTTTGGTTGGGCCCACATGCATTCCCTTCAATGGTCATTACAGAACCAATGGAATATTTGCACCGATGTGCTGGATTATCAGATAACCCTATTGGCTTCCAGCATGCTTGATCTTGGATGATGGTTGAACAGTTATAACAAGACAGTGGGTGTTCCTCTCCTACCCCCACATCCAGAGATACATCTTCTCATGGATGCTTCTCTCTAGGATTGGGGAACTTGTGTAGGGGATATGGAATTCAAAGGCCTCTGGACAGAAGAGGAATCTTCTTTACACATAAATCTTTCAGAGCTTCTAGCAGTTCAATGAGCTATGTCTCAGGCTCTCAAATTGTTTTGAGGAAAGGTGGTAATGCTTCACTCAGACAATTCCACCATGGTCTCCTACATTTCCAAGCAAGGGGGCACTTATTCCAGGTCTCTTTGTTTCTCAATTTCTGACATTGTTATTCGATTAAGGTTGGACTTTGTCTGCTACTTTTCCACCCTTTGAACCTTTGGCATCATGTTCCCTGTATCACCTTTTGATTAAGACTTATTTTCTTCTATTATTGGCTAGAAGACATTGATGTTGGGATGTGTTTGCAATTCATGTTAACAGGACTCTTTACCATTCTGCTTAAGTTTTTTTGTATTCCAATAAGTCCTTTCTTCCCAAAATGTCAGTGGCTAAAGAAGGGGATGAAGCTTTCTCTCATGTTATCTTCCCTCCATTTTTCATTTTCACAACTGCTCAGATCCAGATTGTCTTTTATCCCCGGTTCGGGCCATGCAATGTTATGTTGCATTCACTAAAGAGCTTTGGGGTTCATGTCACTGTTTGTTTCTCCATTGGAAACCTGTGGTGTCATGTGACTTATCTCCTGTCACTTTGACTGGTTGAGTTTGTCATTTGGTGCATATTGCTTACTTTGGGCTTTCTTTAGAAGAACGGAAATTTCTTTGGGTTATATCTCATCAAACTCACCATATCTCGATGTTCCCAACAACTCAGTTGCATTAACTCCTGGAGGAGATTGTACAAGCTGGTATGAGGACCACACCTATTACATTGATATCATTATTTACATGATTTGGCAGCTACCTCCTTGGAAGGTTTTAGGCTATCCCCCTCTTGGCTATTCTCCATGCCCCAGCTCATTTGTAAAAGAGGTGATTTTATTTCTTTTGTGTTTATCTCTATCATTTTTCAGGGCCCATCTCATCCTTTTCATTTGGATTCCATTCTATGGCAGGTGTTGCCAGGTCAGTTATGCTTATTTCAAAATCTGCACGAGCTACCAGTTATCTCGAATTTTCCCGGTAGCAACAAGCTCTTTGGAGATGGAGTGTTTCATAAGACCACCTTGTGCACTTTCCATGTGGTACACAATTATAACACAAAGATAAATGCACTACTGGACTGCTACTTGTGGACTATCCAGAGTAAAGCTTAAGGAGATTTTGTCCATCTCTGCTGACTCTAGATTGAATAACTTGGGGTCGATTTGCTTTTCAAATAGGGATCACGGTTCATCTGTTGCACTATATCTGGAGCATCGTTCTTTAGGACTCCCAACAAGAGTATTCCCCCATTTCTTCTAGTGGAGCATGGGAATCCTGTCCACTCCCAGTTTCCAGTTGGTGGACAGAGGTTTGTTTCACCTGAGTGATGCTTGTACTTATTATTCCACTTAAGGAGATGAGGGTGAAGCTGGGTGGCCTCCTACCAATAACCATGGATGGTTTTCTCAGATGTATGGTAGGAAGAGGATCAGCCTGTGTGGGAGCCTTCTCGTAATTCCTGCTCAGAGGTGACTATTCACTATCCAGTTGAGTTTTGCATTGCCCTTCTTTTTGGTCATTCTCTTTATTTCTATGATATCGGAAAAGAATCCTCAACTCCTTGTAATTCTACACGTGGAGCATCACTCCCTGAGAAAATGAGATACAGATCATCTTGAAAGGTGAATAAGAAGTAATAATGGGGAACTCATATATGGATCTGGTATAGGGGGTGCATTGATGTAGGTGGATAGAATCACAAAATTTAGTGGGGTATAAAAACTGGAGCAAGAGAGATAAAATTCATACTAATGCTTAGATGGGCAGAGAAGAGAAACTTTCATAAGTATTTATATGAAATACATTTTTGGTATAGAAAAAGGTTAAGTTTCTAATAAAGTATTTTAATAGAGATTTGTCCATAAATATATGGAATCAGAGTGTTCACTGCTCCGAGTGCAAAGTTGTTTTTATGTTGAGATTAAAAATATTTTTCTTTATCTGAAAATTTTCAAATATCATTTGTTTTATCTCTAAAACCTCCTCAATTAAATACCAATTTTTTTCACAAAAACTTTTTATTTTATCTGTTATTTTCTCTACCCTAACTATATGGATTTAGTTAATTTGGCTGACCTTGTAACAACCACAAAAAATATGAAATAAATCTAAATTACTCTTTTTTTCTTTCTAGATTAAGTACAGATTGTAACAGGAAAATACATTTATCTATTTTAAATAGCTTAAAGCTTGTAACAGTCTACATCTGTTTATACTTAATTTTATTGAACACTGAATTGTGTGTAGCTGATAATCACACCACACAAGTTGAGAACCAATCTGTGAATGTGTAACTCATGTTACTATATTGAATGATGTAACGCACAAGTTGCTTGCAAGCATACCTCTTGAAGAAGTTTTATTATAAATTTTTTAATTATCTTTGTGATTCAGACTTTATCTAACCTAAAAAGTTTTTAATTTTTACATTTTAGTTACTTTTATAATAATAGAATATACAAGAAAAACAACAAAAACATAGTACTTACCTTTGTACTTTTTTTTTTTTTTTTTACTGTCAGTAATAACATGTACAAAGCCAAAAAATGTCCTTTAACTACCATAATTTAACTGGCTTTTTAACTGTGATATAACAGCTTTAAAATAATTCTCAAAGCTTCTTGATCTGAACACTGTGGGAGAAATTTTCAAAATGAAAACAAAATTGATAATACTCTAAACTGAAAACAATGTCATATAATATGTGTTTTGATAGATTAAAACTTTGCCCTTCTATTGGCTATAAATAATATAGTATAAAATGTCAGAGAGAACTATTGGGGATTTGTGAAAGAGAGGATGTGGCAAGTGGGTCTGACTTTCTAGTTTATAAAAATCAGACTTAGCCTTAGTAATTTATGTTAAATTCCATTCTTCAGAGAGAGGTGGTAAGTAAATCAGAGAAAGGAGAAGACCTAGAGAGCAAATATCACATTTCTTATGCTAGGGAAGATGAAGGATTTTTAAAAATATTTCCTCATAAAATTAATAACTTAAAACTTGTATTAAAATTTGATTTGTTAACTACAATCTAATGCCAAGTTTATTTATATGTATATATTGATAATAAAGTAGATTAATTAAGTTTTGAATGTAAATCTTTAAAAGATCATAGCATGCACACTTTGACCTACCCA